AGTATACAGCGAGCAAGCCAAACTGTCGCTACGGTGAGCCATACCAGGAATTGCATCTGGCAAGATGTCTTTCTGCCGTGGAAATGATAGTTATTGCTCCCTTGCGATGACGACGATTGACTGCACGCGGTGGCCGAGAGATTGCTGCTAGCGCACAAAGCAGAGACTGAATCTGGCCTGTTGCCCCGATACTATGGAAACCATAGTTCAGTACTGTTGAATCGTTTTTATATGTGTTATACCATAATACATATTTCATACATATATATATATATATATATATATATATATATATATATATATATATATATATATACTTATTAATTATACTTCAATACTGGCGGTGCGCAGTGACGAAACTAAAAACTGGACCGCTGTTGCACCCAGCTTGGTGCTGGATGTTTGGCTCTGAAAGATTGCATCGCCCAGCACACGTTGTGCAACTGCACAGTCGTGTGGGGCGTGGTCTGGCTCCCAGCCGTGGTCGTGGGAGGGCCGACTGAAACCGCCCCATTAGCGTGACACATAATAACCGCCGGCGCGCGGACGGGCGCGGCCGACGACATCGCTGTCGGTTCCGGCGCGCGGCGGTATGCCGACTAGAGCTGCCGGTTTGGGCCCGCGCGCCCGCCGCCGGGCACCGGCTCAAAGCCTGGCAGAGGGTCGGGTGAGCTCTGCTGGCGGAGCTGGCGCCTTGGCCGGCGTTGGGAAACGAAATGCGCAGTTGTTTGTTTTTTCGGAGCGCAGAAGCCATTGCTGTTATCTCTGAAATATCAGTACCCGCTAACCGGCCAACGCCGCCGACAGGTTGACGCATTTTTCTGGGAAGCTGCGAAATGCGGCACTGTTTTCTCTGGCATTGACAGTGACACCGATTGTGTCAAAAAACGCTCGGAAAAACTGACGTTCGGAGGTAAATAGACGGTCAAGTTTTCTAGCCGCGTATGTAATGGCCAGGTTCAGTCAGGCAACAGGATCGCGATGTAAGAGGTACCCAGACGGCTTATTTGAAGAGGTCCGAATGCTCTTTTAGCAACGCTGTCATTAATGTTATTTTAGCTTTTGCATGTTTATGGTTGCGTTTCTCCGGGCTCGAAGTACATTGTAAGAATTTCCATCGGCCAGAGAAGTAGAAAATTAGATGGATATTGATCGCTTTTCGATAATCGCGCGCCATTAGTTTCTTCGGAGATCAGGTACGATGCTGTTGTGCCTTTCCTGGACGATGGGGTCCACAGTTCTGACAGAAGACACCGTTGCTGACCTCTGTAGGTCAGCAACTTTATAGAGTCTTGATGTCCTCTTTGGCCTGTGAACTAAGTTGTAACACAAGCGTTGGTTGCAATGCAGTATTCGTTGCCTTTGGTGGATTTATCATTATTCCGAGGAATGTATTTGTTTTGCTGCCGCATTTATGTATGACCGAAGTGAAAAAGAGCATCGTTCAGAACGGGCCTGCCAGAGCCAATCGAATTACGAATATCAGCTGGAAGGTTCGGAAGAATTTCATGATTGATTTTCCCTGGCTTCTTTCTGAGTTCAAACTGGCTTGAACAAGAAAGCACATGCCAATGTCACTACCCCCACCCCTTTGCAAATGTTGTTCTCCGTATGTGGGATATATTGCCGCCCACTAGGTTGATGACAGGAGCCAGCAAAATGGAAGTCGCCACGTGTTCCTGCCAGATGGCTTTTGACTGTCGCTGTCTGGCAATGCTGTTACTTCTCAGCAGCATTTCTCACAAGTTGCATCAATAGCGTTCACCAAGCATGTCACGCATAAGGTAATTCCTTCACGTGACCCTAGCCAACACTTCGAAAACATTCGTGCGTCCCAAAAATTCCTTCCATGCGTGTTTATCGCCGTCCCCGTGTTCCGGCCCAGCGACCAGGCGCCGGCCGGGCCGCGGCACGTGGTCGGACGCGCGGCGCCCTGGCGGCTCGTCCGGCGGCGGCCCCGCCTCCGCGGCCGCGCCGCCGCCCCCGGCCGCCGCCGCGCCGGTCAGGGTGCGTCCGGGCGCCCCAGCCAGTGTGGAGCGAGCGCCGCCGCCGTCAGCTCGCCCAGCGACCCCGTCCGTGTGCTGCGCCGAGCGGCCGTGGGTGCAGGTCTCGTGCGCGATCTGCTGGGTCGCCGCCCGGCAGCGGAGGAGGGTGCCAGAGCTGCGCCGCGCTGTGAGTCAGCTCGCTGGTGGTGCGGGCGGCGAGGCCACGATACGACGCGCTGAAGAGCTTATTGTGGTTGCAACTGCTGATTGGTCGTTTTTCTATGTCCCGGGATGATCACTGCTGACTCCATGTCGTGAGCCAGTTGCTACGAAAGTGCCATTCAGATATAAAAGTGTTAAATGGATGTCCAGGGTAGTCGGTTCATGCCATTCGATGGTCTCCAACGCCCTGCAGAGGATGTTTACAGCCATTCGCGAAGCGTAATCTTTACTATCATTGAGTGACTGGTTCTCTTGGATTGCGTCAGAGTTTATCTCTCAGCGGGCATGTTGTCTAGACGTGGACGTCTGGGGCGTATTTGTCTATTTGCGCGTGTCGTCGGGGACGTATTTGTCAGCTGCTATCCCTGAGCGAATCAGCCGTTTTCCATGATCCGACCGTGTGCCGTCCGCCAGTGGACTGGCTGCCGTTTGTGGGCCGGAGCGCAGTTGCCCAGTCCCGGGCGCACTCTCCGTGCTTCTGGGCAGACACCAGGGCAGGCGGAGCCTCGTCCGGCACCTCGGCTGGCGGCTGGGGTCTGCGGCGGGTATGTGGCCGCACCGCCCCGGGGCCGGAAGAAGGCGTCACTGATGATGTATCGGACCGATGACAAGCGTAATATTTCGCCCCAGGGGTTCGATAGAAGTAAACACTCGGAACGCCCTATTCTGTGATTAATGGCGTCAAATCGGAGATAACGCGGCGGAAACGGCCTGGAAGCGTGTCGCTGTCGTCGAACCTTTGGCGACATGTGGACTGTGAAGCGATCCTGCGAGCTCGTACTGTCCGGGCCCCCAGCCGAGGCGCCGGGCTGGGAGGCCATTCAATGTCCCATAGCGTCTAGATGAAGCCTTGCACTGGTCACTAGTCGTTTGATACTGGGCGCTCATCAGGCTTTAGTGCGGGTACTAAGCCCCAGATGCGGTTACTAAACCAGGGCCAACAGCTTCAGAAGGGCGCCACAGGCGGTCTTGCGAGCGTCCAAAAAGCAGGCAGCGAGAACGACTTACGATCCATTTTGAAGATGTAACGCCGTAGTGCTAACGTTAGATTTTACGTTAAGTTGGGACGGGGCTGCGCCTGCCTCCTCTCAGCTGTTCCAGGTTCATTGGCTGTTCATTCCAGTTAGCTGTTAGTGTAATATCATTTGTGAGTGATATCCAGTTGTTGCCACCATAACTAAACGCTCCACAGGATCGCGTTGCGATATTTTCAGCGTGTTGTTTCCGACTTTAACTTCACATCATGCACACGGAATCTTACTGTAATGCATAACACCAGGAATGCAGCTTCCTGTTCAATTAACGGGGTTCCCCCAACTTTGAATAAGAGTGGCCATGTTCGGAAAAAACAGTTATTTGACTATTTTAGGCGTAGGTTTGGTAACTTTCACGTTCCAGCTCCCAATTCATGTTGCAAAACACCGCCCCGCACAACACATGGTAGGCTACAGTGCGATCATATCTTAGAGACAGCACGCATTAAATGTACCTGGCCTTTTGCGTGCGAGTCGTTTAACCCACGGCCTCCAATTTATGCGCGCTGTTCATGGTAGCATCAGCATTGCGAACGCGTCCTCTCTTGCTGCGAGTGCGGTTATCCCCAGAACCCGCTCGCCGGATAACACATCTCTCCTGGTGCCAGGATTGCTGGCCACAATGTCTCGTGGTCGGATGGCAGATGCGTTTTCGGCTGTTGTTGGCCGGGCCTCCCAGCCCTTGGCAACGCCACGCTGGACCACTTGGGCCACTTGTGTGATGTATGTGAGCAGGCCAAATATAAGTCCAGTAACATGAGTGCTCGGGCACTTCCCATTTATTCGTAAATTCAATTTGTTCCTTTTTGGACCACGTCCCATGAGAGCCATTCGAAGTAAGAACACATTCGGCCTGGTGCTTGCGGCACATTACTTTTGGTTTAGTTTTATCTCCTTGATTCATCTCAACCACTTCGTTATATCTGCTCGACTCGGCGACTCCGCCAAACTCGACGGTTGCGGCTTGATTTCGGCAGGGTGCGACATGAATTCCTAATGCAACAGTTTTAATTTTGAATGATGGTGGAATCGATACCCCGACACGTTTGAATGGCGCATAGTTTGAGTGTAGTCAACTGTTTTGACTGGAATTATCGTTTAGTTGACGGAATAGAGGTGGTCGGTTCAACTGTGAATTCACAGCGGATGTCAAACCATTTCTTGCCTTGTTAGCCATTTTCTGAAATATATTTGATGTATCGATATTTGCACCCACAGTACGCTTTTCCAATTTGTTTCCACCGGAATGGAATCCATGGAATCAATTTTGCAAACCAACCGCTGCGTTGGAGGCGAAATCGAGATCGACTCAAAACGATGCCGCTGCGCTTTAGAACCGTTTATCAGTCACGTGACGTATTTCTCGGCCTCTTTTGTTGCCTCCCATGTAAGGCAGCTTTGGTACGGGTTCTTACTTTTTACAAGTTTTTCGTAACGTTAGTCGCTTTCGTTCCTTCTCCGACGGTTCCTACATTATGGATGGCCCTTTGAGCAACTTAGGAGTCAGTCCACAAATGAAGTCGGTATCGCGGCTTTGAAGCCTGCGATACCGAACGTGCTTCCGCAGACGTGGAACCGATCGCGGGCCTGCTTGCGCGTTTGAACTGCTCTTAGCTTATGATGTTGCCGAGCGGGACAACACAGCGCTTCCGTCCCCTGCGGCGGTGGCCACATGAGCCGCGGCACCGCCGCCGGCGTCTGTCACGTGATACGCCTGCGGCCTTATCGGCGCGCGCTGACCCGCCGCCTCCCGTTGCAGACCGGCGTCAGCGACGAGCCGCCTGCCGCCGCCGCCGTCAAGGTCAGTGAAGGTCACCGCCGGGCGTGCCGGCCGTGCGATCTGTGGTGCAGTGGGTGGGCGGTGGAGCGGACGTCGGCTTTGCTGAGGATTATAGGCAGAGGCTCTTGGGAGCTGTCGATGTTCGAGAATGGACGGAGGAATTGAGTTACTTGGTGGGGTACCCGGAGGACGTTACTTTTAAATACATTTGCGTCACTGGCTGTGCTCCCGCAAGGATGTGATTTCACGAAACAAGTTTGGGGGGGGGGGAGGGGACAGTGGAAAGCAGGTTGAACAAATGCGTGAAATACATGAAGAAAGGTTTTCTGTCGAGATCTTCAAGGTTGAGCGGGGGGAGGGGTACTGAAGCGCCCGCTCTGCAGCTGAATAATAAACTACACCCTGATCTTTCGATTCATGATAGCGAGTGATTTTAAGTCAACAGATGGTCTTCTCGTCTCCCACGTAGCCCACGTTGAGGCGCAACTTTGCAGAAGTGCCGTGTTATAAGGAAAAGGCACAAAAGTTATCACGGGATCCAAACGTAGATGCAATAGCTTTCCACTGTGATGTTAACCCAAAGAGGTTCTGCCCACTGGACCTCCTTCCTGTGAGATTGGTACCACCAGTCCGCTGGCGGCCCCTCGATACCAACAGACTGGTTGCCTGGGGACACTACGTCATCTCAGCTTTGTCTCGTAAGGAAAGCTGCACATTCAACTTATCACAAACATGTCGGGGCATCTTCGGTTCGGCTGAGTCTCAGAATCGGTGTTTGTTTATTGCACCACGATAACAAACGTGATCGAACGGAACTAGCAGTAGCGTAGCGTTTGTCGGCCGTCGCGCTAAGTCAGTGTATTGAATGCTGCCAAAAGGTAACCGGAGTAAGCGGATATTCAACATTGCAGCTGTTCCTGACCCAATGAGGCGAGATTTCGCAATCACATCCAGCATGCAGAACCTTGTTTGCGTTAAGACTGCACATAGTACAGAGGCCGTTATACAGGCGCCCCTCCACTGGCGGCCCCTGCGGGCACGCCTTGGTCGTGTGTCGGAGAAGCGGTGGCGATGGGAGCAGTGAGCGCTTAAAGGTTTCGAACTCACCGTCTCACTCGCCGTCTCGTTGTGAGTCGCTGTGAGAGGGCGTCATTACCGGTGAGACTCGGCCGTCTGTTTACCGCGGTCCGTCGGTTCCGCTGGCTCGCCGCCCGCCCTCCTCCCCTTACCCACCGAGGCGTCGGTCCCGGCCCCGTCCGTCAGACCGAGAGGAGGCTATTTCGTAACGACCGCGTGACTATTTCGACGCGTCGCGACACCGGCAGCCGGCCGGGCAGGCTCGGTCGCCAGTCCGACCGAACGGTGACCGACGGAGGCGGGGCGCGTGGGTGCGGTGTGTGTGCGTGCGTGGTGTGTGTGGAGGGGCTGAGAGTGCCACTGACTTTCGCCGGCCTTGGACATGGATGCGGTAGGTGGGATCGGTCAATTTGCTTGCGGGTGAGGCGGGCCGCGCGCGCCTCCTTTGTTTGCACGACTGACTGGCTGAGCGGCTATCTTTGATTTGTTTCTTGGAAGCACTCGCCAAAGACTCGACTCATGGCTCGCCAGAAACTCGACTCATGGCTCGTCGCATGACTCGAGTTATGACGCGTCATTGTCACCAATTCGGCAAGCGCGGCTCATTCGTCGGTCTGCGCCTTACTTTATTCTTTTTATTGAGTCATGAGGCAAAGGCACTGCCTTGTGAAAACCTTAGCCGTGGGATGGCAAATTTTGCCTGCCAGCGAGCTTACACTCATTATCATGATTTCAAAGTGTCTAAAAAGGGGATTAGTTGGTCATAACCGGAGATACGGCGTTAAGATTACACGGTCATAAGCTCCACTTGACGATATAGAGCTTCACGTGGGCTCAAAACTCGCGTGCCCTGAGCAGCGATACGTTAAAATGCAGGGCGGATACTGATTGACGGTTCGAATGTAGGTGAATGGGGGGGGGGGGGGGGAGGGTCCCAGGATAGCCGGCTAGAATATCGGGGGGCGTGGGGCGTAAGGTCAGTAAAACGCTTCCACGTAGAGATTGTTGTGTCTTTTCCCTAGCGGCCAATAGGCACTCCAGGCTTGATTCAACCTTAAGTGTGGCGAAGCCGTGCTCGTCAGTGGGATGCCGGGTGCCGCCGCCCAGCCTTCCACGGCCCTTCAAACCCGCAGGTCGAGCCCCAGCGACCGCTTCGTGTCCCCGCCGTCCCTCCCCGCTCAAAAGGCGACCTCGGACGTCTAGTGAGGGCGCCATGGCCGGCCGGAGACTCGCGGCCCGGAGCCGGTTCAGGCCCTGCCGGCGCGCCACCCCGAGCCGGCCCGCGCACGTGGTGCCGGCCCGATGCGGGTCAAGGTCCCGCCGGAGGCGCCGTGACCCGGCTGAACTCACCCTCCCACCGATGGAGGCCATCGGTACACGCCTCCAGGGCTGGTACGTCGCGGCTGGCCCTCCCAGTGATGGGCGTCGGCGAGTGCGACGCGAAGCGGACCGTGGCGGTGGGCGCTGCTGGTCCCCTTCTCTCTTTCTCTCTCTCCCTCCCTGCCGCCACTCGCTCGTATTATCTCCCGCCATGGAGGCGGCCGCGGCTGCCTGTGGCTCCCAGACTCCGTCTCTGACAGCGGTGAGAGCGGGTCGACGATCGGCCCTGGCCCGGCGTCCCATCCGACATCTGGCGGGAGCGGCGCGCCGGCCGGCCGGGTGGAGCCCAGCGAGCGAGCAGGCGGGAGCAGCGCTGCGCGTCGGCGGCGTCGGCAGTGTGATGCCGTCAGTGTGCGCACGAGGATCGCATGCCTCATGCCGCAGATTGTGAGTGATGGGGCTGTTTGCAGCGTAGTTATGCAGTAATGGAAATAATCAGATTGAAGCGATCAGCTGATGACCCCATTAGCTGGTGACTCATCAGCTGGTGTTTCGGGGCTCGCCGTGTTATCGCAATTCGGTTACAGCGGATTGCCTCACCAACTGCTTTCATCCGTTGCACTGAACTCAGTGGCCTGTCTCGGCACACGGGGTGTGCAAGGTCCGACTGTCGCCTCTTCCCCGCGATAGCTATGGCAGAGTGGGAGTGGCGGCTGTTTATTTGCGCGATGCGGGAGATACACCATATCGCTGCTAAGCCTCCGCCCAGATCGCTCGATTGCAACTTCCCTGATATGAATGGCAAAGATACTGGCATTCGACATGCTCCAATGGGTAAGGACCATCCTTCGTGAGTGGGGATGTAACTGCGCAGTTTTGGTGATCTTTGAAGCCACTCAGCACTTTAACAACACCAAGTGCTTCTCTTTGAAACGTTGCATCCTGGAGGGGAAATTCCGGTCCTCAAGATCGCAATAATTATGATCCCCATATCATTTGTGTAAGCCTCGAAGACTGAATCAGACCTGCACCTAATCTGTGGAGGCATCTGCGGGGAGGCTGACACTTTCCGAATCACGAGCTGGTGACGCGTGCTGATGTGCAGCTCTGCTGTGGTCTCCAGCCTCTTCGCCGCAGTACCAGCTGGTCGAAACGCCAGCGACGTCCCAGCCCTGGCGGCGTCCCCGCCTGTGCCACGCGTCGCCCTGCTCCGGGCCGTGCTGCCGGCCGGCGGGCGCCCATGGCCGCCCTTGCCCAGCGGTCGCGGCGGACCGCGCCGGCACGGGTCCCCGCCCCTGGCGCTGCCGCCGCCCTCTCAAGGTCGGGCACGGCTCCACCGCTCGCCGCTCGGCGGGGCCCAGCTGGGTCGTCCATGTGAGCAGACGCCCCCGCCGCGCGCGGGCGCCTCGGAGGCCGTGGTCAGGGGCCTGCCAGCGGTCTGCCAGTGGTCGGCTAGTGGCCGGTCAGGGGTCGGTCAGGGGTCGGTCAGGGGTCGAAAGGTCTGCCAGATGTCGGCCAGGGGTCGGCCAAGGGTTGGCTAAGGGTCAGTCAAGGATCGGTCAAGGGTCGGCCAGGGGTCGGCCAGAGGTCGGTCAGGTGTCGAAGGGTCTGCCAGCGGTCAGCCAGGGGTCGGCCAGGGGTCGGTCAAGGGTCGGCCAGGGGTCGGCCATTGGTCGGTCAGGGGTCGGTCAGGGGTCGGCCAGGGGTCGGTCAGGGGTCGGTCAGGGGTCGGCCAGTGATCGGCCAGGGGTCGGCCAGTGATCGGCCGCTGCAGTCAGGTGGCGGCTGGGGCAGGTGGCCGGCGGCCGGCGGCCGCGGTCTGCGGGGCGGGCTCGATTGACACGTCCTGACCGCCGGCCCCTGTAGTTCAGCCACCCGGCTTCCGCAGTGTGGCGGTTGATCCGGGGCTTGGCTGACGGGCAGCCGCCCTGCGGCAGGTGTTTCGTCAGACCGTTCATTGAATATTTTCCCCCAGTTCGTCGCTCCTATCGCCTGATCAGGGGCAAAACCAATCTGAAGAGCTCAAGAGTCAATTTTGTCGTCTTGAGCCGACGGTCTTCACGGTCGTACTTCACTTACGGGGCGTTATAGGGTGCAGGGTGTCAGACGTTTTACCCAGACAATGACACGAATAAAGATGAGAAGCATTTACGGAAGTAACAGTCTGGTCTCCTTGAAATTCGACCCGCTGGTTGCAGGGAAATTAAAGTATTGCTCCGAGCAGGTCTGTGAGTCAGTTTAAACACTCAGTCATCCCAGCATATAGTATCACTCAAGGTTGATCTCAGCTATGAATGTGTTCCGGTAGCATGACTTGCAACGTTTTGAGGCATGAAGAACGCCCAGTTTTATGTTGTTCCGCTGCCGCCTACATCGCACCAAAGATGACGAATGTGCTGAAGTATGCAATCTTCCTCCGGACCACCCAAGACTCCTTCTGAATCCAGGTCCTCTCGATCGACGAAGTCGAATTTAACACTGTTGCGCGAAATCCTAGGCAGGCCTTTACATCTCATTGACGTTAAAGTGACAATATTTTTATTTTCGAGGACAGAGTTCTATTTCGACGACAGATTTCTGTTTTCGCACTTAAACATCACTGATATAGCCATGAGGCATCATCTGTGTTGGTAAGTACTGGAACACACCTCAAAAATATTTCTATATCCGCTAGATTTCGCAGAGTTCGTCGATAACATTTGTCAGGTCTTTTCCGTCCCTTTTCTTGTTTTGCCGTCGCTCCGTGTTTCGTGCCCCATCTCCCCTACCATATGCAGCGCGGCGTGCGGGCCCCGTTCCTTATGATCTTCGGAATATCTCCCCGATATGACCATACCGTCAGACGGTGATACCAGGTGGCAATCAGCACCGGCTTTTAACAGTGAACGGATCAACACTTATGGGGCGGCTTACCGGAGCTTATCTAGTTCGACAGAACGGATGCACTGCTTAGTCTGCCTTGTTGACCAAAGCTGACATCAGTGCCAGCGGAAAAAGTGCACAAGCGTGACTGTGTCGGCGTGCTAGCTCGATGATGAAATCTCTGTCGCCTGTTTGGCTGTCAATCGGCAAATCCTCGGGGCTTATGAGGTGTTTGGGCTCAATTCCAAGGAAGCCTGGCTTGTAACAGCATCGCCTGACTTGCACGATCAACCACCTATGGATGGACGAAGTATCTGGTGGAAGGGCTAATAGATAAATTAGTTATGGTTCTTAGTTTGGACAATTATTTTGGAAAGCGTAAGGCAGACTTCATATTTTCTTCATGTCCATCCAAAAGCGAGTCGGGAGAATCATGTGAGCATATGATGGGGCTCCGTTCCTCATCACGATATGTTCATAGCATGGCTCATCCGCTGCGATGGAAACACGGCGTTCAATGGATGTCCGCGTCTCGCTTTGGCTCAGTCCCCAGCGCCTCTTGTGGGACAGGAGAACTTTTGGGGTGCTTTTTGGCCCACGAGGCAGCCACCTCCCGTCCTGTTTCGCCGTAAGGCTGTTCTCACATTTTAAGAGAGTTTCTCAAAACATTTTTGTTGAATTGAACTGCGCAGTTAAGCCTGAATAAAAAAAAACATGGGCGTCCAATGACCGAGTGGTTAGCAACTTCGACTATCACGTGGGAATGGCCAGGTTTGAGTCCCGGTAGAGCCATAGACTTGAACGCTGATATGACCTCTCTGGTGACTGGCGCTCCATGAAAGGGTGTCAGACGACGTGCGTCGTGTTCCTTTTTTAATTGAGCTCGGGCCACGCCGCAAAAATCGCAATTCCACCGCGCTAGCCGTCTCCTTCGCCCGATGTCGGACCTTCCGTGACCTTGACACAGCAGCCGGCGAGGGCGGACCTCGACCCGAACCGTCTCCCCTCCCCCCAGGATCTGTTTTCCCCGTCTTCTTCCGTGGCTGTCGGTGTTCGAGACTGTTTGGACGCGCTAGCCCCGGCACGCGGCGCCTTCTGTGTCCCGTGCGGACCCGTGGCACTGGCCGCCGTCCGCCAGGGAGCGGGGTCCGAAGGCCGTCCAGCCAGGCCGGCACGCTCCTATCAGATATGCCCGGTCGTGCCGGCCAGGCGTGCCCCGTCCCTGTTTACGGCCCGTGTGCGGCCTGTCAGTGCTGCAGACGGCGCCTCACAATGCCGGCCGGCGGCCAGACGGCGAAGCGGGCATGGCGGCGTCAGGTGTCCGAGCGCGCGGCTGTGTAGCCGGCCGGGCGGCAGCGGCAGGCTCGGGTCAACAGTGCAGCTTCGATACCACTCTGAACGTTGTTTTGTGTTGAAAAACTCTCTTGAGTATCATGGGTGCAGGTGTTGTGCTTCGAGAAAGCTCGCTGCAAATATGGTCCATACTCCAGGTACCCAACTGCCGAAGCCGGTTTGGCGCAAAAATCTCAAAGGCGGGAAGTGTTCGTCCCCCCCCCCCTCCCCTTTGGTGTACGTATGGTATGCACCCTCAGCTGCCGGCCATGCAGTGCTGTGGCAGTGCGCCGGTGGGTTTGGCGAACTCCGGTCTGTTTGTTCGATAGCTGTGTGAGACGGGTATCAAAGCGTTGCCATCGGCGGTCGCCGCCTGCTGCTGCCAAGTGTCACAGCTCACCGGGGCTGTTGATAGGCGCCTGTAACGGTTGTGGACGTGCACCTCCCGGCCTCCCGCGGCGCCTGCTGTGATGCCGTCCGTGAAATATTTACACAACTCCGCCAGACGGGATGTCGGGCGTTTTTAAACCAAATAAACAGTTTTCCTGTCTACCTGAACGTAACATGAGCCAGCTGAGTGAATCGGAGCTGGACGTGAAGCGTGTTGGTTACATCTTTGACATCCTGTCATATCGTTGTTCTAGTTGGCGATGACAGCTGAGTGATGTTTGCGGTTTTTGTTTGCGGTTTTGTTGTGCGGCATATACGTACATGCGGTGGTATGTATCTTTTCGGCACGCGAAGCGTGAACTGTTATGTCCTGTATGCTAGTCTCATGGCTGACTCAGCACGCGGCCTGACCTGTTTCAGACTCAGGACATTGAGAAGTCTGTGAATGAGTTGGAGGCGTCTGCCTCGCAGCTCGCCGAAAGCCCTGAACGTGACAGTCTGCTGGTGGATGTGACCGATCTGCGACACCGCCTGACTGACCTTCGAGGTCACTACAGGCCACAACAGGTCAGTCCGGTCATGCCGGGCATGGCCGACATGGAGCAGCACTCCGGTGTCGTTTATGTCATCCGGGCCATTCTGGCGATGGTTGATATCGCCGACATGAAATAGCGTCTACCAGGTGCGGCAGGGTACGACAGACCGGTGAGAGAATACTTACATTCATAGCTTAAGCCAATACCGAAGCCTTGGGATCACTACGGTCAGGCGCAGGATGCAATGCGTCATTTATGGCATGCCTGCCGGAGACAACGAACATGGGTACGTTGCTATGGGTACGCCAGGGGACCTTTGGGCTCGGACTGGCTTGCGGGGGCAGACCGAAGAACCCAGGGGACCTCAGGTTTCGGACTGGTGGCGCGGCAGGCGTGCTGGACCCAGGGGACCCAGGGGACCTCTGGGTGCTCGGACCGTTGGGCACGGCAGGCGCGCGAGGACCGAGGACCCGGGGGACCTCAGGTTCCGGGGCTGCCGTTGCTGACTCGACCAAGCTGCGGACCTGTCAGTTCTGTCAGCGCCGCCAGTACAGTTCGGCCAGTCCGGCTACTAAGTCACCTCGCAGCGCTGGCGAGAACGGCATCCGTAGTGCGGCGGCCACGGCCATATTTGCCAGGCGGCGGCTTCGGCGTTCGCACCTTATTCGGAGCCGGCCGGAGTGGTCGGCGCTGCACGTGTCGCGCCGTGTAGACTCGGCGGGGCCGCAGCGGGCCGCGGCGGGCCGTTGTGGTCTGCACGGCCGGCGACCCGGGCCGGGCCCGGCCCCGGCACGCCTGGCCGGGGTGCCGCGGCTCACCGGCACGGCCGACCCCGGCCGGTAATCGCCGTGCATGTGCTCGGTCATCACGTCTGACCTGGCGCCAGAGGTGCCCCGTTCTCACGAACGGGTACGATAGGCGCTCGGGGCCTGAGCGCTGGCCCGGTGCGCCCAGGGGACCTTTGGACTTCGGCTGTGGAGTGCGGCAGGCGCACTGGACCTGAGGACCCGGGGGACCTCAGGTTCCAGGGCTGCCGTTGCTGACTCGGCTCAGCTGCGGGGCTCTGACACCCACGCCGGTGCCGTGTCTGCCGCGACGAGCGCAGTCGGCGCGCCTCCTGCTGTGATGGCCGCGTCGGACGGCGAGCGCCAGTGAGACCGTCGAGCAGCTCCGCGATCAGCAGCGGTCCGCGCGCCCCGGGCTGTGGGTGCCGGTCCAGCGGGCCCCCTCGTCCGCAGGCTGGCGAAGGTCAGCTGACGCCGGCAAGGTCACTGCAGGCCGGTCGGCCGACGGGCGGGTGATGCGGTCCGGGCGGCCGGCGAGCCTCCTGACCAGCGGCGACAGCCGGGCAACCGAAAGCTGACCGGGCATCGGTCAGCAGCCGCCAGCTGACCCGGCGCCGGTCAGCATCCGCCAGCTCGGTCAGCAGCGGTCAGCTGACCCGGCACCGGTCAGCAGCCGGCCGGGTCTGGCAGGCTGAACAGATAACAACAGGTGCAGCAGCCGACAAGTTGTCCGTCACCATCCCAGCTGGGACAGTAGTTAGGGCGTAACTCCAGCCGCCAGGGATTGTCGAGGATTCCCAGGGAACGGTCGGAAGGCTGTCGGAGCTTCAGTCTCCGCTGTGTTCGCGGGGACGCTGGTCCGCGGAGTTCACCGGCTCTACTGCCGAACAGCACGGCCTCTCCGCTCCCTCAGCGGGCAGACTCGGTCTGTAACAAGCCAACAGACCTGGCTATGTGCAGATGGCGTGCGGCTGGGGACCGTCGCCGGTGTTGCCGCGGTGTGCCGATGTGAGCGGCGATCGGCCCCAAGCCCGGGATGTCGGCGGCCGGTGTGCGGGCGAGAGCGCGCGGCGCCCGCCCTCGTCGCCCGTCGGCTGACATTGGCTCACCTTGGCCGGCGCTCCGTCGCCGCACGCCGCGCCGCGCTGGGAGCACAGGCCTGCATGGCAATGAGAGGCCCAGGACGTGCCTCCGTGCTCTGAAATGCCTGCTTCGCAGAATATGCTTTGCATGTTCGAGCCTGTTCAGTAGCATCATCCAAGTTTCTGCGATGGCAAACTGATAGGTCAGGTGGTGAATCTTTTGAACACAGGAAGTGTCTTCTCGCAGCCCATCAGCTGAAATGTCCGAGGGAAATTAATGACATCACTTTTTAGACTGCAAGTACGGCACTGCGCGGACGCAAATGCAGAAATCCTTTATTGGTGGTCACGATATATGACTGACAGTCGTGCTGGCAGCCGGGCTGCCGTGGCTCTCAGGGTCAGGGTCAGGGACGCCGGTCGATACGTGCCGCCGCGCTCGCCAGCCGGCCGGCCGGCAGCCGGTCCCGCGCCACGTGTGCGTCCTGTCCCGTGCAGCCCGACACCCACGGACCCTCGTCCGGTGACGTCATATCGGTCAGAGGGTCAGCGCGCGGCGACGCGGACCTGGCCAGGAAATGCGGCACACAGGCGGACGGCGGACCATGAACGGCAGCGGCGCCCAGCTTCGGCCGCTCGCCGCCAGGGCGGCGCCACCGTCGGGCTTTGGTCTCACCGGACCGTCGGCCGTTTTGCTGCCGGCGAGGACGAGGCGCCGGGCGGTGCCAGGCCCGCGGCGTCGGCTGGCGCCGGGCCAGAGCAGCGACGCCGTCACCCCGCCGACGTTCCGGCTCCTCTCCCCCCCCCCCCCCCGTTGCCGCCGCCACCGCCGGCTCAGCGTTGATCGGTGTGGGAGTGGAAGAACGTCTGCAATGCGAGCTTGGGAATGCGCTCACTGCTCCCGGTGTTCCCTCGTATTCTGCAGAGATCACCTGATGGCCTTTGGCCAGCCTCTAAGGTCGACGTCTGGTTCTGAAGGCCGTTTTCGCTCTGGCTGATGCATTCATGCAGAGACGGAAGAGGGCTGAATAAGCAGGATGTTTTAGCGTTTAGCAAAACTCGCTTCAGTGCCAATCCGCGCTACGTCATTCAGCAAAGCCGCTCCGCGCAACGCAGTGAAGCGATTATAGAACTTTCTGGAGGGGTTCGGGGAGGCATTAGGCTGTCTAGTTGGATGTTAATTCATGCCGTGAATTTCGGTAGACCGTTTACGTGCTGAGTTTGTGTGAAGGTTAGGAAGGTATCTGCCCGCCCCCCCCCCCCCCCTCACCAATGCGAAAGCTCCAGTGTTGAGCAAATGTTATTAAACGTTTAAAATACAAGGTTTTTGCCGCCCTTCCCTTTCTGCCTTTGAGTCTATGGCCTGTGGGCATGACCTTCGGCCTCTGCTCTCGTATCCGTTATACGCACCATTCGTTGTCGGTACGTAATGCATGCAGGTCAGGAGACATCACGACCGTCTGGTCCTGTCTGTCCAAGCTGGACCAGCCCAGGTGAACGACCTTGTCGTCTGTCCCAGCAAGAGGTGATGCCATATACTGGCGCAGTCACCTGGGCGGCCTCATTCATTAGAGCGGCCGCGCGATCAGCTGATGGCCGCTGGGCTGTGACGGGGCGCTCCCTCCCCCCCCCCCCCCCCTCAAGCGTCGATCACGCGTGCCCGGGTGTATGGCTCTAGGGGCGTCTCCGCGCAGTCCACGCATTCAGATGTTGGTTCCTTTCGCGGCCCTTCGGTGTCTGCCTGGTCGCTCTGCGGCGGCTCGTCGCGATCGCTCTGGCCTCGCCTCGCGTGACGGCTCGCCGGGCTGTCCGAGCGCGCCGCGTGACCGGCGCGGCCCGCCAGGCCGTCTGGCGGGCCGCCGCCGCCGCCGCCGCCGCCGCCGCCGCCGCGCCGCCGCTGTGCGGCCCGGCCCGGCCCGGCGCCGGCGCAGCCACGTGAGGCGGCATGACTGGGCGCGCGGCATCGCCCAAGGTCCCGGCCGGCGCCGGGTGATTGAACGGATTGGCCGCCGGCCGGGGGATGGACCAGTGGTTTTGTTTGGCCCGCCGCTGCTTCCGCAGCCGCCGGCTGCGAAGGTCGCGGCGCCGGCACGACCGTGGCGACCACGTGCCCACGTGGCTTTGCCGGCCGTCTCCTCACCCGGCAGCGCATATGTGAGGTGGCGGGCGAGCACACGGGGCGCGCGGAATCTGGAACTCCGCGTGAGAGGTTCCCCCAGGAGCGTGCCTTCGGGCCTCGTGGGGCACTGACTCGGACTTCTCGGAGTCGTGGTGAGTCAGCGGGAGCAGGCGGTGCTGACTCAGTGAGCCCTGCACGTGACCGGGTCCAGATCTGACCGGTGACTCGGCAGCGGCTGCCGGTGGGCCTTCGCCCGGCGGCCCGGCGTCCGCCGCCGCCTGTGCCGCTCTCAGAAGTGGGCCTTTCGGTGCCGTCGGCGAGGTTTTTGTCCGTCGAAGCAGACGCAGATTCAGGCGGTGATAGTCGGACGGTCCGGTTACTAGGTCAGCCCCGCCAGGGTGAAGGGAGGCCCTCCATGGGAGAGGGCTGGCTCACTCCAGGCGGTCCCACCACGGAGCGAGAGCGTCATGAGCTTCACTTCATTTGAGCTCGTACTTGTGGCAGGATTAGCGCACCGTAGCGCTGGTCATCTGACCAGACCTCGTGACAGGCTGGTCACGTAACCAGCTGGGCTCTGGCCAGACCACGTGACAGGCGGGTCACCTGACCATCTGGGCCCTGGCCAGACCAGATGACAGGCTGGTCACGTGACCGATCAGGCCCCGACTAGACCAGGCGACAGGCTGGTCACCTGACCACTTGGGCTCTGGCAGGACCAGAGGACAGGCTGCCAGTCGGACGCCGCCGAACGATAGACTTCTGGCCACGAGCCATTCCCGGGATATGTCGCGCGAGTCACAAGCCTGGGCTGATCTATTCATTGGATTCAGTATTATTTTGGAATTGCAGGAGTTCATTTCAGTAAGCACTCCTGCGTTTGATCTCAGCGGATGGTCCTATGGCTTTTGCAGCGAGTGGGACTTTTTTGACCTCGGTGAGTGTCCTTGTAGCTAACCCCAGTCAGTGTGGTTCCCTGTCTGACCTCAGTCAGTGGTGCTGTCTCTGACCCCAGCGACGCGTCCGTCCACGGCCGCAGCTCGGCAGC